CCCCCCCGGCGGCCCCGCGCCTCCCGCCCGCCGGGGGCGCGGGGTGCGAGCTCGGGTCCCGCGGACCCCCCTACGCCTTCGTTTGCCTCACGCCTTGCTCCCGCCTCCGTCGCAGCACCACGATGGCCGTCATTTCATCCACGTCAGGCACAGCGGCCTCTACTTGGTGGCCACGACTTTGGAGAACGTTTCCCCCTTCGGCCTCCTGGAGCTGCTCTCCCGGTGAGGAGGCCGGCCGGGCGCCCGAGAGCGGGGTCTGAGCAGAGGCGGAGATGCACACTTCTCCCCGTTTCCCCAGGCTGGCCACCCTGCTGGGCGACTACTGCGGCTCCCTGGGCGAGGGGACCATCTCCCGCAACGTGGCCCTGGTCTATGAGCTCCTGGATGAAGTGCTGGTGAGACCCGAGGACTTCCTGCTCTCCCCGTTCCCCGAAGATGCACCTGCTGTTCTGCTCTCGGGTCCTGTGGGTGTGAGGCTGAGCCCACTCTTCGCATGTGCCTTGTCCCTCCACTGACCGCCCCTGGCTGTCCTTCCTCGCCATCAGGATTACGGCTACATACAGACCACGTCCACGGAGATGCTGAGAAACTTCATCCAGACGGAAGCTGTCGTCAGCAAGCCCTTCAGCCTCTTTGACCTCAGCAGCGTGGGCCTGGTCAGTAGAGGGGAGGAGGGCTGGCTGGGGGCCTCAGACCTGAGGATTGATTGCTTTGGGTACTTTACAGTTTGGGGCGGAGACACAGCAAACCAAAGTGGCCCCCAGCAGTGCAGCCAGCCGCCCTGTCCTATCCAGCCGCTCTGATCAGGTGAGGGAGAGATCAGTGGGGTTAGACCTCTCTTTTCTGGGACCCCAGAGTCCAGCACATCTTTCTAGCCCTCCTAGACGTGGTTTCTCGAAAGCTTCCGCTCGGGGATTACATTTCTCCAAATAGGACTAAGGAAAGTCCGTTGAGCGCTAACATACCAGGTACAGCCCTTTGTGTATCTCGAGCCTCAACAACTCTGGGGTGCCTGCTTTTGTTGACACGCGTACTTCCCTGACCTTCCTGGCTGTCCAGGCTGATGTGCCTCCCACCACCCAAATCCCCTCTCTTCCTCAGAGCCAGAAGAATGAGGTTTTCTTGGATGTGGTCGAGAGATTGTCTGTTCTGATGGCATCTGATGTAAGTTTGGGCTCTCAACCCTCGAACAGAGGACAGACGACATTTGAGAAAGGCCAACATTGGGGTGGTCAGGGCTTGGGGTGCTGACCTCCCCGCCACCCGCAGGGCTCACTACTCAAAGTGGACGTGCAGGGAGAGATCCGGCTCAAGAGCTTCCTTCCCAGCAGCTCTGGTGAGGCATCTGCAGGCTGGACCCAGGGCGAGGCGAGGGTTGGGACAGGCTCCATGGTATCACGGCTGGTGGTGGGTGTTGACCTTTCCTGCTGCTGTTTCCACTGACAGAGATGCGTATCGGCTTGACAGAAGAGTTCTGTGTGGGGAAGTCAGAGCTGAGAGGTGAGGGGAAAGCGGGTATTCTCTCTAAGTGTGGGTTGTTGCCAGAGTTCATGGAAAGAAGTTAGAGGCAGGTCCTCTCCTCTGCCTACTCTTATCTTCCGAAGCACGCGTCTAGAAACCTTTCTCTCCTTCTAGGTTACGGCCCAGGAATTCGAGTTGACGAGGTCTCGTTCCACAGCTCCGTGTGTCTGGATGAGTTTGAGTCTCATCGAGTCCTCCGCTTGCAGCCACCGCAGGGCGAGGTCAGGGTCAGGGTGGCCTTCCATACGTTCCGTCCATGGTGGGGAAGGGAGGCGGCAGGTGAGGAGGCCAAGCTGACCTTGCCCCTCTCTGGTCTCAGCTGACTGTGATGCGGTACCAACTCTCAGACGACCTCTTCTCCCCACTCCCCTTCCGGCTCTTTCCCTCTGTGCAGTGGGACCGCGGCTCGGGCCGGTGAGACTCCTTCCTGTGTTCTAGAACTTACCTCGGAACCCCAGCCAAGATGTGTATGTTGCCGAGGCTTACTACAGACGGGTGGGGGCGGTGGTGGTAGCGGCAATAGGGTGCAAACTAAAAAAAGACTTGGGCTGGATTTCGGCCCTTCTTGGGGCACAACCAAACAGCCCCACATAAGGCCCTGGGTGGGGAATGGTGAGATGCCAGTAGCATGGGACCTGATGATTGGTGTTTTACCCTCTCATCCAGGCTTCAGGTTTATCTGAAGTTGCGATGCGACCTGCCCCCAAAGAGGTAAGAACAGAGGCTGGCCAGGCCGAGCTCCGCTGTGTGGGACGGGAGACAGGGCCGAGGTGCCTGCTGGTTCTTCCTCTACATGCAGCCACCAGCCTCAAAGTCTAGCTGAGTCAGAGGCTGTAGCATTTGGGAAGGGGGGCAGCTGTGCTGAAACCCTACTGCGACATTCAAGAGGACTGGGACAAGGGGCGGTGCCTTCCTAGGGCTGACTGTGTTCCTTTCTCGGCAGCCAAGCCCTCAACGTCAGGCTGCACCTTCCCCTGCCTCGAGGGGTGGTCAGGTGAGTGTGGGATGCCATGAGGAGCTTCCCAGGAAAGAGCAGGGCCCTTCTCAGCCGTGAGGAAAGGGGGAGCTGAGTACGACTGGTGGGCCCAGCACCTTCCCTCTCCAAACTCCAGCCTGTCTCAGGAGCTGAGCAGCCCAGAGCAGAAGGCAGAACTGGGGGAGGGAGCCCTTCGCTGGGACCTGCCTCGGGTGCAAGGAGGCTCTCAACTCTCAGGTCTTTTCCAGGTACCTGCTGCTGACCCTCCAAGCCCCTCTCCTCTGGCCTCCGCTTGCACCCCCCGCCCCCCTTCCTGAAGCATGGCCGTCTTGTTCCCCCAGCATGTCCTGTCCCCTTTCTTCTCCCGACCTCTGCTCCTTACAGATGGACGCCCCAGGCCCCCCGGGGCCTCCCAGCCACGGGCCCTCCACCTCAGCCCCACCTCTGGGGCTGGGGCCCGCCAGCCTCTCCTTCGAGCTTCCCCGGCACACGTGCTCCGGCCTCCAGGTCCGCTTCCTCAGGCTCACCTCCAGACCCTGCGGCAACACCGGCCCCCACAGATGGGTGCGCCACCTGAGCCACAGTGACGCCTACGTCATTCGGATCTGAAGCTCTGCGAGTGAGGACGTGGCAGCCAAGGTGGCAGTTTGTCCACGAAGACGGCACGTGGGAGGACCGTCTTCTCCTCTGGCCTCCTGGCTCACGGCTCTGGATCTGAGCAGGAAGGCTCCTGGGTCCGAGACTGGGAGTCCCAACGAACCCACCCCTTCAGTGGCAACTGGCACGGGAAGGGCTGAGGAGGACTGAACTTACAAACCAAACTTTTATTTTGAGGAAATGGCTGTACGCGATCTAAAAAGAAAGTGACACGGAGGAAGCAGCCTACTACGTTCTTCCGTCCTGCGTGCATGTGTGTGTGTGTACGCATGTGCAGGAATCGGGGCCAGCGGGTGGAGCATCAAGGAGCGGGCTGAGGGGAGCCAGAGCTGAGAGGCTGGGAGCCGTTAGCCTTTGGAGTCCCTGGAGCTGGAGGGGGACTGTCCCCAGCTTCCTGCTTCACCCCGCACGGGGCACTGCTGCCGAGTGGGGAGGGGGACGAGGAAGGGGGGGGCACTGGGGAAGGATGGGAGGTGGGGCCTCCTTTGCCCTCCCCTGCCGGGGGGAGCGAGACCACGATGTACTTTTGGACACTGCCAGGACCGGAGGGAGCAGCGCTGGGCGGGGCGGTGGTGGCCGTGGAGACCAGCTTGACGACGGGCTGCACGCTGGGGACCGTGGTGGTGACCGGGGAGGTGGTGGTGGAACCCGGGCCGGGGGCTGAGGTACTGAGGGACAGGACCTGGGGAGGGGGGAGGGCAGCGCCTGTTGCCGCACGCCCTGCCCAGGCCCGCCCCCAACAACCGACCGGGCCTTGGGACCCTGTGGCCGCTCAGGCTGTGCCCCGTGGGACCCCGCCAGCGCCCTTCCGGCTGCTGTCTTTGGGCCCAGAAGCCACGGCTGCCCCCAGGGTCCCGAGCTGCCCCGGCCTCAGGGCCCCCTTCTCCATCCCTGCCCCGCGGGGCTCCGCACAGCTGCGCGTACCTGCTGGGTGGACGAGGCACTGGAGGACGACGACATCACGATAAACTTGGTTGGGGGAGGGGAAGGCTGTGGCGGGGCCGCAGCGCGTGCGGACACCAGCGTCTGCACGGGGAGGGCGATGGAGCCGGGGACCTTCAGCAGCCCGGGGGTCCGGGGGCCGGGCTGAGGGGCTTGCGAGAGGGTCAGGGTGGGCCGGGGCTGCAGGGAGAGGGGCAGGAGACGGCGTCAACGGCTGGAGAAAAGACGGGCCGATCGGGGAGGACTGGCTCCCATGCTCGGGCTTGCAGGGGCGCCCAGACGCCCCAAGACAGCCGACGGCCCGCGTGTGCCTGTCCCACCCCCGGCTCCTTTACTTCCTCCTGCCCCCTCCCCCAACAGCCACCGACCTGCGTGATGGTCAGAGTGGTTCTGTTGACCTGCTGGGCCTGCAGAGCAGCCTGGGCCCGGGCCTTGACCACGTGGGAGCAGAGGAGGGGCCCGAGGGACCCAAACTCTGCCCGGTAGGCATCCTGATTGTCAGGTGGTGGGCGCAGCTTTGCCAGGACAGGGGCACAGTGCTTCTGCAGAGAGAAAAGCAAAGCCAGGTAGAGGGAGGGCTGGGGCTCTCAGAGGGGCAACAGGGAAGAGGTGAAAGGCGACTGCTCGTTTCGGTGTCCCTGCGGGAGGCCAGACCATCCTGGGCTCTCGGTGTGTAAGGAATACTGGTTTTTCCCATAAGGAAACACGGGCACCAGCTGGTGGGAATGAACTCGCAAAACACACTGGCAATCTCTGTGGGAGCCGGCAGGCGTCTGCCTCGCACCAGGCGGGCCGCACAGCGATGCAAGAGCATCGGGCAGCGCAGCCCGCAAGTCCCAGGCTGAGACGAGGGCCCCTTCTCTCGTGGGCCACCGTGCCTCAGGCCTTCCATCTGCAAGAGTCTCAGGCCGTGGCATGCTCCGAGCACACGAGGCCAAGAGGGAGTGAGCAAGTGCAACATGCCAGTGCCTGCCGGGCACCACAGTGTCGGGGAGGCGTGAGGGGGAGGGCAGGGAGGGGCTCGGTCACCAGGAGGAGGCTCTGCACGTGGTCTGCCCCAATGCGGTCGATGTTGCTCAGCACGGGGCCGTCCAGGACGCTGCGGATGCGCTCCCCCTCCTGCTGCAGCCGTGGCAGGATCAGAGTCTTAATCACCTGTTGGAAAGGAACAAGCCAGGGCCCCGGGGTCAGCAGTGGCCTCTGGGGTGGGCAGGGCCCACAGCCTCCTGGCAGCCTCCCTGCCCTCCTCTCGTCCCCCCAGGGGCCGAACATCATGTCCCAGCTCTGCTAGGCCGGCGATGGAGCCGTAGCGAGTCGTCCAGGGCGTCTTCTCGTCCACCCAGCTCTGTAAGGGGAAGGAAAAGAAACTCAGACGAAGGGGTCTGGAAAGCCAGTTGTTCAGACCCCGGGTTTTCCTTAGAGACACTTTCCTTGCAAATCACGAAGGCAGAAACAAGCCCAAGTCCCTTCGGCTCCCCCAGTCCCAGCCCCCTTCCCTCTGCCCCTTGCTTCCGGCGCCATTTCCAGCCAGCCACGCGCGGGCAGCGGTGAAACGGCTGAGCCCAGGTCTTCCTGGCTCACCTTGGTGAAGGTCTTGGTGATCCGGGACTGGATGTTGTTGGTGGTGGTGCTGAAATGCTTGCAGATCTGGGCCACCAGGCGGGCAGCAAAGTCGCGGAGGGCCCAGTGGTTGTCCACGTCCGGTCGCAGGCACAGCTGTCTGCTCACGATGCAAGTCATCACAGCTGGGATCAGCTCGTGCACCTACAGGAGGAGTGGCGGGTCAGCTGGTCCTGGCCAGCGGCTTCCGGCGGGCGGCGGCGGGG